TCATACATAACCTTGAGTGCAAACTGCACATATTACTAATGATACACAAACAAGTATTACTCATTTTGTCTTCTGTATTCCTGATGCAGTTGCTGGCTATAAAAGTTGAGCAAACTAGAAAGAAATTCAGAATTTGCCCAATATTTTAATTAACAGGCAACACATGTTTTAAATTGCAAGCATCCTTCCTGCTTTTCACATTAATTTCTTCAGAACCACTATTTATAAATCATTGTTTTTTCCCCCTAGCTACTGATGATGGGGATTTTAGAGTTCACAGACCAAAATAATCTGAAATAGCACTGACACATGGCCTTGTTTAATTATAGATCAACAGCTTTGTTATGGTTCTTGTCGTTCATTCCTACCCTGCTTGTAAAAACAAGAACTTTAACTCTGTACAAGGGTCTTGGTATACATGTGTATGCCTACCGGTAGTGACATCTTGTGGTTGTCAATAAAACAGTTCTCTCTGCATGTCCCATTTACAGCAGAATTTACCTGCAGACCTACTTTAAGGCCAGAGCAAGCCGGTGGCAGTGACCCTCTACCCCCCTCAGAGCCATAGCAAGGCCTTTGGGACACTAGAAGTGCACCCAGGGGTGGCTAAAGCTCTAGTTGAACTTTCTAAGCCCATAGTTCACCATTTCCTTTAGTGTTCCCTTCCTTATGCCTTCACCTTCACGCCACATGGCTCTTCCAACTTTTCTTTTTTATCCCACCTCTCATCCCTTGCTTAACAGATTCCCTATGCAAGTCCACGGCTTTATAAGTAAATAATCACAACTAAAAAACAATCCTATCATTTTCTCCTAACATGCAGAACCTTCTACAAAAGTGCTTGTCTTCCCTATTCAGCGTTTTACAGCCAAGACAAAGCCGGGTTTGCAGAGACTGGATATATGGTCCCAGACAGGTCTCAAAAATACTATTTTACAAAATACTTTTAAAGCATACAAGCTACTAATATCACAAGACTAAGTTCATTTTTTACATTTGTCCTATGAAATGTGTCTTAAAAGATGCATTCAGGTAAGTATTTGTACTGTGCTATTGCTCTCCAACAGTCCAGTTCAAATGAAATGAGAAATGTCTCTAGCACTTGTTGATTTGTGCCTAGGACTAAGGTCTTATTGCCTCTACTTGCATTTTTGGTGCCTGTGCTTTGCTATGATAACTCCCTTTCTATGTTGGAAGTATTCTTAACAATGTAATAATTTACTAAGTGCTAATGTCACTACAAATCAGTGAGTACCAAATACTGCATATCTTACCATAGCTCCCAAGATTCAGTTTAAAAAGTAGCTGAGCAGACTAGTATGTGCTTTCCAGCAGTAAGACACTGCATTTAGTTGTATGCTACTTGCTGGCTGGCTCAGGAATCCTACAGATTATATGCACCAATGTAATTTAGCTTTTGTGGGGGACATCATCTACCCTTTATATTTAATCCATAAAAGTCTCTTGAACTCCCAAAAATAACCAGTCCTGCAAGTCTAGTAGCACACCTACAAAAACCTACAAAAATATTGTTTCTGGGTGTTACACTCTCCCTGTAGTTCAACCCACTGCCTTTTCCACAGCTACTGCTTCTCATTTATCTTCCCAGCTGAAGACTACAATGACAGTCCTACTCATCCTCATTTCTGCACCCAATCTGTTGCACGCATTCAGGCTAGAACATAGGAAAAGTATCAAAGTTGTTCTCCTCCTCCTTTCCTTTATCATCACTCCTTGGTGATCCTTCCCATTTCCTACTGTTCCTCATGTAGCCTGAGCAAAAGCCTAGAAAGATTCAGCAAATGGCTTACACAGCCATGAAGCTTTAAGAACAAAACCTGACTTCTTTCAACCAAGTGTTCCCATGGTCAGAGCTCTACAAGAAGATCTGAATATCAAGACCATCAACAAGTTTTCAGGCCTTACAACACCTGCCACACAACACAGGGATTAAGACCCTGCACATATTTAGCCCCACTTACAACCCAGAACTTGCTTCAACTGTGTAATTTTAACTTCACTTTCCAACAGAACCAGGCAAGTACAGCAGAAAAGTGGCATTTAGTGTGGTGAGCACCACACTTACTGTTCAGGATGCTCTGAGCAAGAACCCATCTTAAAAAAACTTGAAGGCTTTCAAGTTTTGGCAGACACTGCTGCCCAGCAACAGGTCAGCTGAGTAACACAGGAAACAGCACCGTGCCCCTGCGTTTCCAGCTTGACTGTTTGTCTAAATCTAGTTTGTTTCTTTTATCATAGTTCTGGAACATGAGGGTAACCAACTTCCAAAATCTATATGTAAATCAAGTGAACAAATGCATTCCCTGCTTAGCACATTTCTGAGCTCTTCCAGGCAAAACTCTGAATAGTAAGTTCAGATAACTTCTGGCAGGGGGTTGTGTTGTGGTGACCAACTTCAGGAATCTGCTGTTTGGAAAAAGCTCATTACAGCTTTGTAACAAGATTATGTGGCAAAGCCAGTCAGCAGTGGCTACAGGTATGCCAGGGGTGAAATGTTGTCACAAACTGATGTCAGAAGAGCGTTAGCTAATAGCTTTGTTTTAATCCAGACTTGAACTTTATCAATGATGACTAATCACAGGGCCATCCATAAAGTCAGTTTTCCTTGGCAATAGTAGGCGTTAACTCCTTCCAAATGTATTTCGCTTTATTAACCCTTTCACAACAGCTCATCTCATTACATGCTCCTACACTGGGCTAGCCATGCTCTCTCAAGGCATTTGTTTACCTCATCACCTCTTGCCTGACAGCCTGAGCACTTACAGTGAAGTGGGAAAGGGCACAAAGGAGCCTTCCTCTTCCACAGGCAGAGGGAGGGCACTGCCAGGGTGCACTGCATAGTGCATCCTGCACCCTGCAAGACACTGCAAACTTGTATTGTTAGAAAAATGAAATGAAAACAACTTGGACAAGAAAACCACCCATCTCCTATGCTTACACAGCTCTGCAGCTTTCCCAGACCACGGTTAGTTTTAACTTGGAGCAAAACAGCTGAGTGGTTGCAGACACAGCTCAGACAGATGCCCAATGCCACAGGCTGGAAACAAAGTAAATAGCCCTTTTCTACACAACCAAGGTAAGTTTATAGTTAACACCTGTATCAGTGGCTCTGCTTCTCCTGAATGGGCCATATCACAGTCTTAGAGGAGGCTTTTAGAGAAAATTATCCTCTTCATCTGTATACATCAGTTAGCATATGAGTACTTATGCAGAAGAGTAGCTGGGTCAGAGAAAGCAAATGCATTAAGCAGAGCAGGCACAAGCAGCTACAGTGTACTTACATGGAAGTAATTCTTGCCCAGTTGCAGACTGGCAAACTTCACCGATTGCATAAAAAGGCTTTTGCCTGTGCCTCCTCACCCAGTGAAGCAGCAGGCTCAGTATTGTGAGACTCCAGAAAACAAAGACCCAGACCCTCCTCTGTGCTCTAGGAGGAGGAGATAATTTGTGGATACATTTTCAGCACCCCAAACTCCTGAACTGTGAACCTAAATGATTTATAGATGGGGCCTTGAACTGAAGAAACTACAAACATAAGTGACAAATCTTTAGACATTTCTTCTGCCAGGTCCTAAGAAACTATCAGGTTGTCAGCTAAACTGCTATCCTACAGCAAGGTGGCAATGTTGTAAATTCACAAATAATCCAAGACATTTAGATCACGGCTACTACTTTTGAGAAGACTGAAAAGGTTCCTATTGCACTTTGCAAGCTCCAGACTAGGAACACAAGCACCATTTTTCACCATTACCTTCAAGTACATAAATTAGAAAAGGGAATCATTAGAATATCTTCACCTATTTCAAACACACAACCACCAAGATCACTGCTACTAGTCAAAAAAACATTACTTTTCTAAATACTTACCTGAAGTCTAAAAGATAGGATCAAAACACCTACTTAAAAGTGCCATATATAAATCAGTCTCCACAAGAGACCATAACATTACATGGAGATTTCCCTGCATGTTCTCTCCAGCAGAAACCTTAAAAACACATGCACAGAAATGTACTGTCTCAGTTAATAAATTTAGAGCAGACTTCCACAGCACCAGCTGGTGGTCCCACTTCTGTTGAACTTGTTTATAAAGTTTACCATGTTTATAATGTGGCTTAGCAGACTGGAGCAGGTTGCTTAGCATCAACCACCTCAAAGCTATGAGGAAAAGCAAGGGCGTGGTGCTCTCCAACTTCTGTGAATTACAGGGAGTTACATATTAAAAGACCTATCTATGTAACAGCCTACTATTTTAAAACCAGTATTTAATGAGTGAAAGATTAAAAAAGTAAAAAAAATTATGAAACTTTGGATATTTGTACCTCATGTATTCAGTCTCAACACACTTGTTGCAATTTGTTGTCTTAACTCACCCTAATGCCACAGTTAGTGACTTAACTCCAGAGAGCTGTACATATTTTAAAAAAACATGGTGTTTTCTGCAGGCTGTAATTTCTTACATTTGACTTGAAAAATGTAATACATCTCCCAAAGACACTTCCATTGTAACTTCTTGTTTGAACCTTCTACATAAAATTTTAAAGTAGCTTTTCATCAACCAGTAACTTCATTTAAAGGAAGTGTGGCCGGGGAAGCTACTCAGCCTCTCAAAACAGTATTATACAACCTAATCTAAATTACATAAAAGTTAAATTCCTCTGCTTTGTGTAGCACTAGTGTTACTTCCAGGTTTAGTGCTTTGCTGCACTAAAGGTTTAAGCACTGTTTTCTCAGATTTTTGCAGATTCATAGCAGAGCGCCTGAAACCACAAGAATTCTCAACTGGACCACTGACTACACACTTGAAATCAGAAAAACATCAGCTTTTTTCATCTATCATTAAACTGAAATGGCTTTCCTTTCTTCCAAGCTTGAAGAAAGGTCATGCAGACATGCACATACTCTTCCTTCCCCTCCCACCCCAAAAAATTCAGGCTTTGGAAGAGAGTCAGAAAGAGGCAATATGCTTACCCCCTGATAACGGTTAGATCATCTTTAATTCTAGCACCTGAAGTTATACAAGGGTTTGCTTAATAATCAAGTTTCAAAGAACTGTTGGACACATTCAGTAAGGTGACAACTGTGCAATACCACTCAGTATTTCAGTATCAGGGAATATACTCTTGAATTGTTTAAACACAATCCACAGAACTCAAAGTTAAACAACCATCCACAGTTTAACTAAACAATCAGTTAAAAGTCTTACAAGTTTAATAATTCACATAATGGTCAGTCCTTAGTAAGGGATACTGAAATTCATTAAAAACAACACTAGATTTTACTTTATGGGCGTGTTGGGCAGGCACATAATTGGCCATTCTTGGGTATAACTCAAAGAGTAAGGAGAAGTTGACCACATTTTGGCAAATCCCACATTTTGTCAGTTAAAAGTGAACTGTGAGAATTAAATACTCATCTTTACATATACACAAGTTATGCTGTGAAAGCATATTTGCTTACAAACATATAAAAATACTTGTTAACTAGTTTGATAAGAAAATAATGTATAAAAGTATATAGCAAAAACATTTAATCATCTCTGACAATGGAAAGATCAAATTCATTTTTATATCACATGAAACAAAAACAGCTACAATTTTAGTTTTCCTTAATCCCTTACCCAGAAATACAAAGGAAGACACAATTTCTTTTCAAACACGTGATGTGAAATTCCTTAATAAGCTAAAATGCCTCAAATCCAGAATGAGCTCAGGTATTTGGCCATATCCTAATAGTAGTAGTAATCATCCCATAGCTGTTCTGGATTCATAAAATAAATACAGTAGACTGTTTTGGCCACTGAAACAAAACTGCAGCATAAATGAGAGATGAAAATTTCTGCTGACAATGAAATTCAGTGTAGGTTTTTTAAGGCTAGCTAAATACTCAAGTCTAATTTAACTGAGGGCAAAAAAAGCCAATCCACCCCTTCTTTTGAAAGTGTTCTCTATACTTCAGTATAGGTCTTCATAATAGCTAAGAATATCAGAAGTAAAAATAAATTAATTCACAAGAGACAACTTATGCATGACTTCAACACCTTGTCCTACACAGCTTTGTTTCATCTCCTTTGCGAATAAAACTCCACAAGGTGCAAGCTCTTAAGGGAGAGAAGGAAGGAACTGTGGTATTAAAGAAGCAGCCTTAGTGTTTTGTTTTGAAGTCTGCCCCAGAATGACTGAGTCTTCTTCAAGAACTATTCTGCCAGCTTCTTGGACTAAGGCTATTCTGGTGACCACTTTTAGGACATGCACATATAAGGCTAGAACAATACCAGAAGTGATGTAAAATGATGGAAAGATTAAAAAAATCTGGCAGTTGATAGCTTGGCTCTTGGGCTTCTCAGAAAATAACACAATGGCAGCCCTTCTTGTCTTTTTCTTTCCGTGTTGGCTCTGGTGAAGGAGGGCACTCTTGTTCTTGAAATTTCCTGAAACAGATATTTCAAATTAATTTATAGACTCATTTTCAGTTAAATGAAAAAAAACATACTGTATTTACCACTTTTACACTTTTCTAGAGGATGGATTTGACACTTTAAGTTCTGATGAAATGAATGACAGCTTTTTTTGGGGTTTGCTTTTTAAGGAACACCAATGTATCATGCTTACTTAGTGGGTGATTAATAAAATCTGAGATTAAGGTGAATAAATTATCTTTCAAATACATACTACTTTCATGTAAACATTTTTCCTAATTTGGAGGAATATTTTATAAGGGAGAGAGTGAAGTTTACAGGTAACAGCAGGCAGTTTTCTCAGCAACCTCCTACTACACTTTAATGCATTTGCTGGAGCTATCCATTAATATAAGGGCATTTACCTGGCCTTGAGTAATCATACCTTATAACTCTGACAAGTTCATGAAAGGCTTGGTCTACATTCAACCTGATTTTTGCAGAGGCTTCCATGTATGTTACTTTAAGCTGCCGTGCTAGCTGCTGTCCTTCCTCTTGCGTCACCTGCAACAAGACAGCAGTCATGGAGTTCAAGGCTTCTGCAAATACATTTAGGTCAGTAGTCACTGCAAATACACATTAAGGGTTTATTTCCCTCAAGCAATAATGCTTATTTGACCACAGAATATGTTCCACACTGTCCACGTACTACAACTGGGAAACAAATCGACGTCATACATCTTTTCACATGCAAGTGAAGACTTCCGACCTACGGAATACCCTTCAGTGCAGCTGCAACTTCATTTCTGCATAACAAGACCAAGTTTTCTTCATCAGTAGACAAGAGTCACCCAGTCCTCCCCAAAGTAGGTGCTTCAATCAACATCTTTCTGGATTACAAATACAATTGTGAACACTACTGCTACACTCATTGTTTTCCATGCCCCAGCTAAATGTAGAGGAAATAAAATCAGATTTCTACTTTTAACACAGGAACTGATGTTTAGCTTCTGAATCTTTATACAAACCTATTTATGACACAGCAAAATATCAATACAGCTGGTTTTAAATATTGCTTATATAACAAGAGATCTAAAAATCCATGAAGTCTTCAGGCTATCCAGAGATATGGAAAACTGTGCATACCTCTTGACTACTTGGGACAACAGAAAAAAAGGGAGAAAAAAAAATAAGCATCATAAAGAGTTGGTATAAAATTTAAAGTGATGAAGCAGAAGGCAGGAAGCTAGTGGGCCATTATAGGAAGGAGGAGTAAGTTGGTCACAGTGCAAAACCAAAGGAGATCACTGTATATTTTTAGATGAAGTAGAAAGCAGTGAGGTCAGACAGCAGAAGGCCATCCTGAGCAGTGCAAAGCATGCGAGGCTTCAACGGGAAGGTCACCCACAGGGCCAGGGAGGGAAGGGCAGCTCTCAGTGACGAAAGGAAGTACAAAAGATCTTGCCAAGACAATGGCTAGTAGAAGCCCTGTCAAAGATTACTCTGCTTTCCCAGAAAAATTTTAAACCAGCATGTAGAGAACTGATACAAGGAGAACAAAAAAAAAGTTTTTTTAATTTAGTTTTGGAAAGGCACTTGAATATCTACTTGGATTACAATTTATTTCTACAGAAAGGAACCACAGATCTTCTGGTAGCAACTGTGTGTGCATGTGGTGATTCTACTACGAAAATAGTTTAAGTAAACTTAAGGCTCAACAGGAACCACTTACAAAGCTTATTCTTTGTTTTAGGATATTGTTTGGCGTGGTTTTGGATATCATTCATTCACACTGTTCATTAAGCTGAGCTACTTGTGAAGCAACAAGCCTGGAAAACCAACAAATCAACAGCTTGTTTGTCAGCATCTAGGTTGATGCTGATCAAGGTCAAAGCACAATGCTGCCTGTGTGGGATCATCTGCTTTGCTTGTCGCTTGTCTAAGCATAAACTGAAGTCACATGGACCTCTAAAAAAAACTTGCTTTAAAGGCATCTTGCAACACAGATGATCTTAGTGCTAAGTCATTCTATTAGCTCAGTAATGATGCAAATGAAAAAAAACCAGCATTTTACAAAACCCAAGCACCTTCCTGTTGCAATCTGAGATTTCCTGTAAACCCTGCCATCTAAGGAATGATCAGACTCAACTCAGTTTCAACTAGCAGTTATCAAAAAAAAGTCATACACATCCTGCACTGACACATCTACTCCTGCATCAGAAGTGGTTGTTGCTAAAATACCTTGTGTCCTACTGAACTGCCTCTCTGACAACATCCAGTGTGGAGTTGCATGGAATTAACCTGCTAAGAGAAAGACTGCTACATCACATTCACTGTGAGAGCCATGAGAGATGACGCTTCCATTTTGGTGTCATGGTCAACAATCTGTTAGCAACTGGTGAATCTGGAAACACTGGTAACTTTATTTCTTAACATTCACGGGTATTTTAGATTAATACTTGCCTGTCCTCTAAAAACTCATTTTTCTTTGTCAACTTAATTAACGACTTTGCCTCCCGTAACACAAAGAGAAAAATTACCAGCAGTCTGCTTAACTCCATTTAACTACACAAATTTCTGTTTCAAACTTCCTATTCCACCTGTCTTTTTTCAAAAAACACTTGTGAGTTGACCTATACCATATTACACCATCACCATTTTAGACTACAATCTTGATATGTCCCTAATACAATTGTCTGTGCACTTCTGCTGTACAACCCAGTTCATATATTTCCTGAGAAACAGTTGCCACCACCCAAGGATGATTAGCTATGCATCATTTGCTCCCAAATCTATGGTATCATAATGATAGTACTCTCTACTGTGTTCAACTGTAGAATACGGTTACTTGCATAAAGGTGTGGTCAGACCCTTGAGACGTCCATATTTTTTTATACACGTTTAACTCTTTGGGGCTCAAGGAAGATTTGTGTGTGAATTCTATTGAGTATTGTCTGCTGATCAACACACTAAATTACTTTAACTCAGTTTTACGGTCTCAGAGGTAGCATGTGTTGTCTGTTATTTCACTGCTTTGCCTCCTGAATTTCAGAAAAGATAGGCAGATGTTGTACAAGCAGTTTTGCTTTAAAAACTCATATCCAGCTTCCTGAATTTCTAAATGCTAATTAAATTCTGAAGTTGAAAAATACACGTTTGCGATTATGACAGAGTAAGACAACTTCTTGTAGAACTGTCAGGTAAGTAGAAGGACCACAGTGTGACATTCTAGCCTGGCTGACTAGGTTTACAGGGCAACTCGAGAGGTTTGACATGCCAGCAGATTGAAAAATGCAAAAAATGCAGAGGACTAACACTTCATTTTTTTGCCTGCAAAAATCCTGGGATCATGTGACATCTCACAGTTCCCAGCACCCTTAACCAAGGTGAGGGTGTACTCTCACCTTTGCCCCCAGGCTTAAACCTGCAGCCAGAGCAGGATGACCTTGCTTGTCAGGCTGAAGATTTTCCATACTTGGGGAGACATGGTGGCAGGATTAGTTTTCAGCCAGATCAGCAAGCTTGTTCAGCTCACTGAATGGATTCCTGCATTGAGAGTTCATGTGATGGAGCAGAAACAACTCCAGTGATGAAGCAGTGACTCTGGCTGTTTAATATCCAGCTGATAACATCTAACTGCCTGCTGCTGCCAAAAGGCGAGGTCTCACTTTCTTCCCCCTCACCCCAACCCCTCCCTGCTCCGAGCCACAGTCCCACCCCTTCCCATGCTTCAAGCACTGGCACTCAAGTCCTTCTGCAGGCTGATTTAACTCACATAGGTCCCAGAAAACCATTCCAGCTTGTGTTTTTCTCCCGGTCTAGAGAGATGATTCAACTCAAAGTGCTTCAAGTCAGAGCTAGTGCCAGCAACCAAAAGAGCGGGAACATGAAGAGGGAGGGGAGCCTCTCCCTTCTGGGGGCCGATGATGTCAGCTCAGCATCCCCAAACCATTCCTTCAGACTGACTTAAGGCCAACTGAAACACACCATGTGACAAGGAAGGGGTAGGGAAGAGTTAACACCACATAACTAGCTGTTTCAGCAAACCTAGAAGTGCTATTTCAGCTACAGTTTTCTAAGCTCCAATTTATGATGGGAAGTCACAAATCCACCAATTTTCATGTAAATTGTATGAGTGATAGCACCAAAAGTTAAGCTCGTCAGCATCTAATCAATTAGGGCAATTAATATAGCCATAAAAAGCAAAAGAAGCTTTGGGTACAACATATGCTTTTATTTGTGTTCAGATATAAGCAGCAAAAGTGCTAACTCAAGCAATTTAAAAACAGCTGCTTAGGGCTTGAATGTGTACCAGTCTGTTCACACCTGAAAAAGCAGCTAGGAACCAGGTACTGAGGGGCTAGCAGAACAGCTGACAAGCATCCCTTCCTTTACAGGAGAAAGAGATGAGAAGCAGTAACATTAGGAAGGTGGAGGAGAGAGAACTAAGTTCCTAACCATTTCTAGAAAAATAGATCTACAGGATTACCAAGTAAATCTGCAGGTATCCTCTGAGAACTGGGGTTGACAGCAACAATGCTATTTCCCTCCCAAAGCATCTGGATGTTTGTCCCTCAGCAATTAAGAGTTTGCGGAACAGTTCAGGTTCACCTACATGGCTTCAAGGCCATCAGTTGTACATGAGATAAAGTACCTTAAGTTCCAGGGCCTGCGAGGTTAAATTCAAGAATTTTGATGGAGGCACGATGGCAAGCGAAGAGTGGAAGAGTTTCATGTCTGTTTCTGGGACAGGCTGATAACTCTGTGCATGTGTGAGTACATGAAGTTCCTTCTGATGAGCTTGTGAGCTACTCATCTGAAAACTTTAAGACATCTTCCAGCACAGATTTTGTCATGACCTTTCTACAGTGATTCAGGGGCAAAGAGGCTGTGGCAATCAAGGCAGCATAGTCAACAGGAATTGTTTGGTACTGAAGGTTTATGTAGTATTCAAGAAATTAATCAAACAGGAATGAACTAACTAACTCAACTCTTATATGTAATTTGTTTTGAGCCTAATTTTTTCTTGTTCCAGCCACTGGTTTTTGACAAAGATTTTAATTAGGAAAGACTAACATTTATGTACACACTTGTGAACAGAAACAAAGTCATATCCTGGTACACAAATCTGAGAATATTTTATTGTTTAAAGCCATGTTTTTCTTGTGAAACTCTTAGAATAATTACAGCAGTTTTAGTAATATTTAGTTTCCTCTGAGAAAAAAATGTTTGCTACCAAGCTTTGTCATCTTACCATCTCAGGAGAAAATACTGAATTTCTGAAATAACTTGCTGAAAAAAACAAGTTGGATACCTGTTTTTTTCCTGAAAAAATGTAGTAAGATTCTCATTGCAGCTCAAATCAGTTTGATTTACGAAGAGTAATAGGAAAAACAAATTTAAAGCTCCTTCTTACCTTTTAAGTTATCTTACAACTAGACACGAAGTTGAAATCTACTGGTTTTCAAAATTTTCAATTTAAATACAACAGCAATGTGTTGCTGTAGTTCCAACTCTTAAAGCTTTAAGGCAGTTATGCAGAGGATAACTTTGTGGCCAAAGAGCACAGCAAATGGCTACTCCTTTATATCTAACAGCAGTGAAGGGTGAGAGCAACAACACTGAAGTCTCAGGGTGGTCAGAGCTAGGGCAGGAATGGTTTCTG